GGTATCCCTTTCTCTAGACAATGACCTCAAGGTTAGGCTGAGTAGTTATGCTTCTTCAGTTACTTCTCTCTGGCTCAATAATGCTTAAATTCTGTCTTACGAAACAGTGTCCTTTGAAACACACCAACAGGCTGTAAAGGAAGCTGGACCCAGGTTCATATCCTGGCTAGGCCCAAGGGTAAACTGTTATGTAACTGGGTTAAGGGAAGTTAAAGCAAGGAACAATTTACCAACCTTTGTTACTAATTTGATTTTATAAATCACCAATTCCTTTAATTTCCACAAAATTTTACTGCTGTGGGAGATGGAGGGGGATTGGAGCTAGATGATCTTGGGGTCCTTTCCAACCCTAACTATTCTATGATGCTATGGTGTAACAAAGTAATCGAGCTCCCTAGTGCAGTCAGAGTTAATTTGGATCACAATTCCCACAGTGGTGTTTGATGTACTCTAGATCAAGCACTGAGTGATCCTGTTGTTACAAGATACTTTCTTTTAGGAAAGATGAACACACTTTAACTGAACAACTATATTCTCTATAAAGCTTTTCCTTGCAGTTGTGTTTCTGTAGCATTTTATTTGGGGAAGTACATAAGGACAATCAATCACTGACAAAATTTTTGGTAAGGTGGACTAATAAAGGAATGTGTTGTTTGTGATCTAGTTTCAAAACATCTGCAGACATTTTATTGTGGTTCTCATAAATCAAATTGAAATGAATGAAACAATCTATTCTGACATGTAGTTTGTCAGTTTTAATCAGATTACCTTTCCCAGTCTCCTGGAGTAGTACTGACTAAATTCCTGAGGGGTTTTGAACTTAGCTAACAATGTGTAGTTTCATGGGAAATAAATGTGTGCTATATTGTTAAGAAAACCCTCACGTATTTTCCAAATGATACAAATCTCTCCTCCATGTTTAAAAGAGCATTTAATTCTCAAGAATAAACATGTTAGTTTAGAGAAGCCATATTTACTTTGAAAATTTAGATAAGTTTGTAAGTTTTCAGTATTTATGAGGTTTCACAATGAGCCATAAAGAGAGAAACAGTTTTGCTGTATGGCTTACCTTTTGCATGTTCTTGAAAGTAAATACTTCACTCTCTTTATGGAAATGTAAATTAAAATTTGTCAGCATAAATATTTGTGAACATTCCCTGATACAAATTTGCAGCTCCGAAGTCTGAAATCAAACAATCCCGTATATGATTTCTCTAGCACAATCGCAGAATTGTGAAGATCATCTTAAACTTTTAGAGTAAAGATTTTGTTTCTAGCCTGTGACTCACTAAAAATTTTGCTTGTTTCTATCCTGCCTCACATACTAATTACTGCCTGTTTAGTTTAACCAAGGAGGACATAGGCTGGGTTTAAAGAATTGGCTCAAGAATCGGTTTCTTTGAATTTTACTGTTCTCTCCTCCATGGACAGGGATTTATGCACAGACTTCAGGCACATGGTTAGATCATGTGTGATACACCATCATTTAATCTAACTTGTGTATTAAAGATGTGGAATTTCATTCTACTTATCCTACACTTTTAATTAAAAAATTGTAATGTCTTGCTTTTGGCTGAAGCAGAAACAGTCTACAAGGAAGTGTGCAGCATTAATTTGAAAACATCAAGGAGAACTCGAGGATCCTGGGATTCAAGGTTAATTGTTTCTGTAGCTTTTCCTTTTTTTTGTTTCAGAGGTGTTATTCATTTTTCCTTTCCTATTTTGTTTGCCTAATTGAAGCGTACGTATTTTTTTCTCCCCCTGAAAGTACTTATGGAATGTGATATGGTCAATTACTGGTTTCCCTTTAAAAAAACCCTAACCACCCACCAAAAAACCAACAAAACCAGTGCCTACAAAACTCTAAAGATCAATACATTGTATGAAGATTGATTTTTCCCAGCTCTCTTAATCTGAAATGTCTTCAGTAGGCTTCTATTACTTTTTGGACCCTTTCTAACTTGAAAAGTTCCCTTCTAGTTTCTCAATATTAAATATTAATATGTGCAAGTAAAACTGAATGTTGTGTTTCAAAATCAGTCCCAGCGTTGCCTTTCTACCCCGTTACCTTGTTATACTTCAAAAAAATTACTCTGCTTTGTTAGGCTACAGAATGATCCTGGGATTATGAGACATCCTTATCCACAGCAAATCCTTCCTCTCTTTCAGATAAAATGCTTTCCAGGGCCATTTATCCACATTAAGGTGTGGTCTAGGTTCTTATTTTTAGATGAATAGCCTTACATTTGGCTGTGTGAAAACACAGATCCTGTTCCTGAAAACATCCGTCCATGTGATCCATTTCATTCCATATGCTGCCGTGTCCTTTTACATCATTATTTTTCACCTCAATAGTATATACCATCTGCCAAATTTCTTTTTTTTTATGGTTTTTAAATTATCAATCAAAAAGGATTGTGATAACACCCCAGATTTTCAAAATCCCACTGGATTGTTTCTGCCATTGATGATTCCATACTGACATCTATTTTTTCAGGTTTTTCAATTACTGGCATTATTTATTTGTGCAGTATATGCAGTATTGATACTGCATAGTATTATTTGTAGTGGTTAGGGTGTGAAATTAAAAATACCTGCAAGAAGCTATTAAGCTTAGGAGGCTGCTGTAGTAAATTAAATCCCTTGCATAAGTAAAAGAAAATGAAAAAGTGTTGTCTGACAGGCTGTATTTCCTAGAAGTCATGACAGCATTTAGAAATGAATTAAAAAAAAAATACCCATTTTTTTTTAATCCACTGTTTCTTTTTCAAACCAATGCTGACAGTTTTTCTTTCCCTTTTTGAATATTTGTGCTGTGTCGTTAGATGTCCCACGTTATGACTGTGACTGTTATGTGAAGATCGGTTAAAATGTAATGTCAACAAGGAAAATGTATGCTCAGCCAATGTATTAGGGACTTCTATGAACAGGCAGTTTGATCCTGATGATTTTAAAACACTTGATGCTAACATAAGTCGTTAAAAAACTTCTCTAGTGGCTAATGGCTTGTTAAGTAGTCCGCTTTGCTGATGAAGCACAAAACAATTCCTGTTGGGTAAAAATTAGAACAGGAATTTTAACAGCAAATCATAGTTTGTTAAGATTAATCATGATATGAAATAATTTCTATACCTTCTAAAATCTGTCCTCACTGAAATTTTTGGATGTTTATCAAAACTGAATGAATTTTTCAAAGAAAGAACCCCAAAATATATTGCCAGCATAAAGATGTCTGTATACATAAACAAACATAGAATCTTGTATCTGTAATAAAAATTCTGTAGTCAAAATTATGGGTTTACTGCAGATGAAAAATAAATGCCAGGAGAGTATATCATACCCTATGATCCATAGCATTATTCTTGAAAATACCTAAATCATTCTGGCTAGTCTTTTTTAAATTATTATTATTTTAATTTTAAATAAAATGGACCAATTATAAATTAAACACATCGTAAGACACATTTCAATTCAAAGGATTGAAGCTGAGAACACTAATATGCAATTAAAAATGTGGTACTGCAGTGTCAGGGGCTTATGGGCTTTAACAAAGTTTTTATTGCACCACCTTAGGCACGATGTATAATCCTTGTTTGTACAACTGAAGCTAGTGGGAACAAGTGTGTTAAACTATTTCAGACCACCTTTTATGAAAAAAAAACAAAGGAACAATACTTCTCACTCTAAATGTTCCTTTTTCATGAACCAGCTGTGACTTAAAGCACATTTCATGGCCTTGAAATCTCAGAGATTTTTTCTAGAGTGAAGTTTTCAATATGTGCTGTTTTATCTTTAGTGCTACTTGTATAACTACACTGGGCTTAGAGTTACTGATTTTTCCCAAGCTACATTTTTATCCTTTATGTTTCAGCTGTAAGATCTACATAATTTAATTTTTTCTTAATTCTGTTTAATATGAATGTAATAAACAGTCTTTTAAATTCTGAGAAATGGCTAACACTTATATTCAGGTAGTGTAATGTGTATCTAAGAAATAATAGCTAAAGCTGGTTTTGTGATGATTTTTCTTGTCTTTGTGAATGGTTTTCGTACTTTCTAATGTACTAACAAGGTTATTATTTTTTATAATGCTTATATGTTAATATACAGAAACTACCTCTGGTAGGATAAAATGTTTGTGTCCTTTCCCTTTGCTCTAATGGGCCTTCTCTATTATTTTTTTAGATATTGTGTGTTTACATGAATTATATCTGAACACATTCCTTACTATAACTATAGTTACATTCATTTTTTCTATGCCTTGTACAAAACTTTAAACTGTGCATCATTACAGCAAGGAATTGTCAAGGGAGGTGTCTATGACATATACAGACTTTACACCAAAATGGTCTACAAATTGAAGTTCACTTCTCTGGGAGAAGTTGAGTTAAACAAACTAACAGCTATCAATTATGATCTATCTAAAAAGTGTATGCACCCCCATTGAGAAACGGGAGTCTTTTCAGGTAGGCTACTTACATAATGGGTCTTTGGGAAGATAATAGGCTTGTCAAAAGCTTGTAAAGAGTTGATACAATTAGTAGGGTAATAATTTATTTTAGTTACTTTTGAAAATGTCTGAATTTGTTTTTTGTGGTTAGGAGTTTGAGAGGAAAAAGACATGATGTCACGTGTACTTGGGAAATTATTCCTTCAAGTATATTCAAATGTTTCTTAATCACCATTCCTATACATGTGAAATAAAATCAGCTTTAATATTCACAGTGTCTTTATAGTGCTTGTGTCTATCCCCATTACATGTATTCTCTATATATGCAAAAAACTTTTGTGTAATCTCAGGAAGTCTGTCCTGATGGTATTAACTTTTAAAACTGCAATAAATAATTACAAAGTAACTGGAAATCCCTTTACACAGTTGCAGTTCATTGCCCCAGAGCAACCTTAAAATGATCTATTAAATGATTATTAGAAACAATTAATTATACCAGAGAAGTCTTAAGAGCGCAAATGTAATTTCATGGTTATAATTTTCTTGTCAGGTAATAAAACGGGATGAGCTTGGCAAGGATCTGTCTGACTGCTCTCTGTTTGATTTGCTGAAATATGATGATTATAATGGTGACAAGCACCTAGCTCTGGAAGAATTCTATAGAGCTTTTCGTAAGTACAAAGATTAGCCTGTTGTTCTTTCAGTTTTCTTTTCTTTCTCTTGGTTTGTTTTTCTAAAATGCTTTTTTTTAAATGTTTAAATCTTGATGTATCCTGGTGCTGTACTTGAACAATGAACACAATTTAACTGCCATGAGATAGAAGAGAACTTCTTAGCAGAAATCAGTGAGATCCATTAGCATCCAGATTTCTGAGGGATTTTTGGTAATGGCGAATTCATAGATAATCTTTCTTAATGCCAACAGGCACTGGTAAGTCTGTGTTGTGCACAAATGGGGAGTAGTCTGGTCTAGACATAATCAGTAGAACCAAAAATCCAGAACACTTCTCCACACCCTGTGAGTGCTGTCAATTCTGACAAACCCAGCAACAAATGCATCACTTCTGTTATATCTTCGCAGTTCTTGGAGAGATACAGATTTGTGGTGTAATCTTGCCAGGTATTTGTTGTAAATGGCAAAGGTGGCTGGAGGCAAATCTGTACAGTACCTAAAAAGTGAAATAAGAATGTTGAAAATATTTACTCCAAACAGAATGAAAAGTGATTTTCCCCCCAGAATTTTCTTTAAGTATTTAATAATTTTAGTTTTGCATTTCAAAGTTACAATTATGTTATATTTTAATTCTGAAATTAATTTTAATTTTGCATTTCAAAGTTATAATTACGTTATATTGTAATTCTGAAATTATATTGTACAGTATGGAAAAGATTTTTCACCAGCTTGGACAGTTTCAGACATGTAATCTGCAGGGGATCATCTTCTAAAATACTATGATCTTATGTGTTATTTAAAGAACTTTAAAAATCATAGCTATTATTTTAAATAAGAAATGCTTGTAAAATTTTCACCCCTCATATGGTCCTCTGCCCATTGAGCTTGACCGTGTGTTTGTCACTGTTTTTTCATTCTTTTATCTCAACCTTTTTCATCTACATTAGAATTTGATCTCAGTTTAATACCTGCTACTCCCTGTGGATTTGCCTCTATCCCTAATAGCAGTGGAGTGGTGGATTTGAGAACATTTGAACTCTACTCATTAAAGTTTTTCTGCCTGACTGCTGGAACAAGAGTTACTGACATTTATTCACTCTGAATGGCAGTGGAGAAAATTTGGGTTTTCAATGCTGGAGAAATTGATCCTAATCAAAGCTGCTGCACAGAATTCAAAGGGTAGAGGTGTTTGTTTGTTGTTTACTTTTTTTCTCTTTATTTCTGTAACTCTAACAAGTTGCGTTTTTAAAGTCTTTTAAGAGAGGGAGTGGAAGAAAAGGTGTAGAAGTACTTCTAATGCCTTGTTTGTTAAGACAGTCACATGAGCACAGAAATGCTAGGACTGACTGGTAAGGGTAGGGGAGGGGCAATAGGGGTCACAGCACCACACTTTTACTATGTAGCAATCCTCCAGGGGTACTTTTTGAAGCCAGTTTGTACCTGAAGCTGCGAAATTATAAAATGTGGTTTAGATAACAAAATACACTTTTAAGACTTATTAGAATTTGGTGAAGGTTAAACAGCTCTTGTTTTCTAAATTGAATTGTTCATCACCATCCTCTACTCAGCACAGGATCATGCTGCACAGAAGACCCTTCAGAAAAAATGAGAGGCCTGGAAAATGGCTGAGAGAAGGCATTAGGGATATTTGTGTCATCAGCCTGAGCCTAAAAAGGGGATAGTAATAGTCGAGCATACAATTGGCATGCACGTTTCTAGCTGTGATTTCAAATGGTATTTAAAAACACTTGAATAAGATGTTGAACAGAGTTGGATAGGAGTAAAAGCCATCTTTGCTCTGCTGTTGAACAACCCATTCTCTTAAAGTGATTTCTTTTTAAAGGATTAGGCAATTAAATTTTATTTAAATATGAAGGCATATCAGTGGGATTATTTGTTAGTACTGTTCTGTTAGCATTAGCAGGTAGGAACTTTTTCACTGGCATACTTTATCAGCAATTTGACTGTCATCTGAAGATTGTAAATTCAGAATCAAACATGACTGTAGATTGTGCTTCTTTATGAAGAGCTCCCCACAGATGACAATTCTATTTTTCCCTCTAGTGGTAGGAACAAACCCACCTTAAGGGCAAAGTTTAATCATTACCTGTTTTAAAGGTATTAACATGCACATAAACTTATATCTATACATATATGCGTGTACATGCTTGCTTGAATTCTGTGAATTACTTTTGACAGTCTCATTTTATCTGACAACATTCAAAATAAACAGGACAACCAAATTTGAATAGCTTTATGCAGTGGATGAAAAATCCCTTTCTCCCTTCAGAAGGTCAGATCCTGAGGCAGTAAAAAATAAAGAAGATGCTTCAGAGGGTGCTCTTTACCCTGGAGGTTTGTGCCAAGTCCAGGTTCACAAAATGTTGCAAGCTTGCTGGCTTCTGTAGTGTTTTACGTACCAGAAAAACAGATGCATTTTTCTGGGTGTTGGCTGTTTTCACTTATACTATGGGGGATTTTTTTTTTGGTGCTATAGCATCCAGTACTAGATATCTGTCTACTAGATGCCGTAACAGTTTAACGAGATCAATAGAGTATGCAGAGAGGAGCCTAAAAAATAATTACTATTAATGTAAGTAGAAAAACCAGAAAGTTTAGAGTTAGCTAGGCTTTGGGAGCTGGGCACTGAAAGAATCATCTGGTTTGGTCCCTACTGCTTTGGCCATATCATGTAAAATTCAATCTCAAAAGTGATCCAGCTCCATCTTAGTGTTTTGTTTTTCTTTTTTGTTTCGCTTCCCCAGTCAGCCCCAAGCTAAAGGATTTTCTATCAGCAAATGTTTTTCTTAGACAGGGAAAAATATATTTAACTTCTTCTGAAATGGTGGCTGGAAGCCTAAGATGATGGAGCCAAACAAAAGCTAGAAAGGGGCAATACAGATTCTTGAAAGCTTTATCTTCTGTAAACTAAAATTCAACCAATGTGCTTCCTTTCTTTTTCAGTGATTTTCTTTCTTTGCGTAATGTCTCCTATGGTATCAAGATAATTCCGTGTTTGCTGTGAATGCTGTCACTTTTTGTTAGTCTTCTAATGTTCTTTTCTAAAATAAAAAAAAAAAAGTCTTATTTGTTTTTCTTCTTTAAAATACCATCTGAAATGAAATTTCAAAGCAGCTATTTCAGGTGGGTTGCAAAACCTCAAGGCATACCACAAGCAAGTTAATAGTTTTGATCACTCAGCAGATGCAGATGTATATGTAGGCACTTTGTGACTGCAGTAGAAAGAATGAGACTGATTTAAACATTCATGAATAGAAGTGATGGAATACAATGAGTACAAATAACAAGTTAATTGTAAATAATAGAACTAAATGCTCTATGTAATAATTGAAATCCTACATAAAATGAAGAAAAACCCCTTAACTTTCAGAATAATTTTTTATTGTTAGTATAGAACTATAATGTTATTTTATGCTCAAAAAAAGGGTCATGGAAGGCCCTCATATTCAGGACTTGAGTGTAAAAATTAACACTAGGTTTACAAGAAATTGTCAGAAAGAGTTAGCTAGCCAAAACAAAATATGACCTAATTTTATAGTCGCTGCTCCTATCAGTTTCACAAACTACTTGTGCTTTCAGGTACCACATAACACTGTTAAAAGGATCTAAGCTGTTGTGCAGTTGTTATTCAGAATCATGAATATTGTTACTGTATGTACTATTGCTATATATATTTAAAAGTACCTTCAGTCTTGAAATGCTGTTTGTGTCCAGATATCAGATTCAGATTTCAAGCACTCCTTACTGCTGAGGTATTTGCATGAAGTGATATATAAACCTACAGTAACAGGAGCTATTACAGAAAGTTGATCTGGGCTGAAATTACAGATTGTTTTTGGGCTCAACTTTTAGGAGGAAATGTGAAGCCAGTGCCTAATATGATTGTCAATCATGTGGAAAGGCAAACAGCAAGAAGTCCCCATAAACACAGGGCTCATTAGGATTCCATATGCTTAGTTACTAAGTCTCAGTCCTCAAAAATTAGTCTAAAACATCACTTCTTTCATTTTGATACCTTTACTTCTATTTTAATTTGTCAAATGGAGTTACTAGAGGGGCATGTTCAAAAAAAAATTTTTTTTAAATGTCTATCTTCATTTCCAAAGTCAAATAAACCAGAATTTAACAAAAACAACAACAAAAATCTAAATATAAAATCTGTACAATTCATTGAAATAAATGAGACTTCCCATTGGCTTCTGTAAGTTATCCTCAAGTCCACAAAGCCTAACTCAAAGAATGCTTACTGAGTTTATACTTCCAAAGAGTTCAGTATGAGGTCTCAAGTATTGTATTTAATATGCAATCTGAGTCAGAGCTTTAGAACTATGATTAGTCTTCAATAGTAACACAGGTGAACAAATAGTAAAGATTTTCTGAGGGAGGAAGAGGTATTATTCTGTCTCCTGCTACCATTAATTCCTTTTCAGCAGCAACTTCTGTGTAATAGCTTGTTCCAGAGGGTATTATATTTCAGCAATAAGCTCTGAAAATACCAGTTAGCATCATACTGAGTAGGAGTTATGTGAGGTAGTGGTAATATTTTTCTGCTCAACCTAATCTATCTTTCAAATTCCTACCTGTGCTACGTGTATTTTCAATCTAGAGATTCTAAGCTGGAAAAGAATGCTCTCTCTTCTGTTGGGTGGATAGGTTTTAAACTGATAATTTCAAACAAGTAAATATTTACAGTATTAAATACTGTTTTATGGATTGAAGTAGTGTGCCTGAAACTTTTCACATGCTGCTGAGTAATGAATTTTGATGCCAAGTGCTTTCCACATGATGATAATTGCATTTTTTAGGTGCTTCACCAGTAATGCTGTGGGGAGCGGTTTGTGGAGTTTGGGTCTTTTTGTGGTCGGTGTTTTGCTGGGTTTTGTTAGAAATAATTTTTTTTTTCCTTTTTTTTTAAATTAAATAAGAAAAGTCTCTGAGTAAAATGGGCTCTTTTAAAAAAATATCTTAAGTGTTGTT